ATGGGTGAGATATAGTACATCATAATTCTAAGTAAACACTTCCAGTTTCAAATCCTGACTCTAAAATAGCAGATCCAGTTGAACTCAAATGCTATTTTGCTTGCAAGAAATTCTGAATTAAGAATTCTGAGCAAAGCAGTTGTGGATAAGTCTAAATAGGAACCATCAAACCCAGCAGCTTTGCCCAAACATGAATCAAGGAATATGAAAGGAACTGCAGACTAATTCAACCAGAGAAATCAGCTAGAGCAGAGCACCTGATGAACCAACCTGGACACAGCATATTATTTGAGAACACAGAAATGCTGGACCACTCTCACAACCACCATGTCAGACTACACAGAGAAGCCATTGAAATCCACAAGCATGTGGACAATTCCAACAGAAAGGAGGAAACCATGAAAACGAACAAAATCTGGCTACCAGTATATAAAAAATCTAAAATCAGGACAGGAAATAAAGAGCAACACTTAGCTAAAAGGCAAATTCCAGACAGGGAACAATTAGGGCCAGCTAACACCTCCCAACAAAGGATTCCCCCAGGCAGGATGCAGCCAGGCTTTGAAGCGGCAAGGCCATTCTGTGCTAATCAAGCTGGGCAATTGCAACATTGCCTCAAGCAGACAAAAGTTCTTTCTCCCACCCTGGGCATTCCACAGATATATAAACCCCACTTGCCTTGTTTCCAGCAGACCTCACAACCTCTGAGGATGCCTGCCATAGATTTGGGTGAAACATCAGGAGAGAATGCTTCTGGAACATGGCCATACAGCCCGGAAAACTCACAGCAACCCAGTTCTGAACTAACATAAATGTACAGTCACCTCTCCACATTTTCTGGGGTTAGGGACACAGGACACCTGTGAAAGTGAAAAAGCCAAAATAAAGATTTTTTTTTATCTGAGAGAACAGCTCTCTAGGAATTTCTAGGACTTCCAGCATTAACTTCTACTGAATGCTAGCCAAAGAATTGCATTGGAGGCCCTAATGTTTCCTAGAGAGAAGTTTTCTCTAGAAATTCTTAGGTCCTCTAGCATGAGAGGAGGAAGCTGATTGTAGAGTCACATTGGAGGACCTAAGGAATACTCAAAATTACATTAAATCCACAAATTATCAAGTCCACAAAAGACAACTGTAAATGCAGTTCTCCCCCGTTTGTTTTTGGTCAAACTTGTGTTTGGGGGACTTTGAAGCCCTTCAAAAATGTGCAAAACAATTAAGAAACAGTCACAAGATGAATCAAGTAAGTGTGGATTCTGCTGGCGATGATGATTGGATCATATTAGACAGCCATCAGTGGACAAATTGGAAAAGAAGATCCCAATTCTAACTGTGCCAGCTTTTTACCTTTTGCCTGTGGTCAATTATATGCCCAAAAAGTCATTGCTTAAGTTGCTTGTTGTATGATGGAGTTTATCCTTGAGCATTTGTTCTTTTGCTATGCATTAGTTCAGTGTTTCTCAACTTGGGGGTCAGGACCCCTGGGGGGGGGGGGGAGTTGGAGGGGGTGTCAGTGGTGTCACCAAAGATCATCAGAAAACACAGTATTTCCTGTTGGTTATGGAGGTTCTGTGTGGGAAGTTTGGCCCCATTCTATCATCGATGGGATTCAGAATGCTTTTTGATTATAGGTGAACTATAAATCCCAGCAACTACAACTCCCAAATGTCAAGGTCTATTTTACCCAAACTCAACCAGTGTTCACATTTGAGCATATTAAGTATTCATGCCAAGTTTGGTCTAGATCCATCATTGTGCTCTCTGAATGTAGGTGAACTTCAACTCCAAAACTCAAGATCAATGCCGACCAAACCCTTCCAGTATTTTCTGTTGATGTGCCAAGTTTGGTTCAATTACATCATTGGTAGAGTTTAGGATGCTCTTTGATTGTAGGTTAAGTATAAATCCCAGGAACTACAACTCCCAAATGACAAAATCAATCCCCTCACAACCCCACTAGTATTCAGATTTGGGTGTATTGGGAATTTGTGCCACATTTGGTCCAGTGAATGAAAATACATCCTTCATACCAGATGTTTACATTACAATTTATAACAATAGCAAAATTACAGTTATGAAGTAGCAATGAAACTAATGGTTGGGGATCACCATAACCTGAGGAACTGTATTAAGGGGCCATGGCATTAGGAAGGTTGAGAACCACTGGATTAGTTACTATACATGTAAATTAGGAGATGCCTTTTCAAAGAGGTGAAGAAAGCAGGAGACAATGATGGCTTTCCACATGCGGGCATCTTTTGCAAATTTTATTAGTTACCAAAAACTTGTGTAGTTTGGATTGTTGTAGGTTTTTTTCGGGCTATATGGCCATGTTCTAGAGGCATTTTTCTCCTGACGTTTCACCTGCATCTATGGCAAGCATCCTCAGAGGTAGTGAGGTCTGTTGGAAGTAGGAAAATAGGTTTATATATCTCTGGAATGTCCAGGGTGGGACAACTGACTTTTGTCTGCTGGAGCTAGGTGTGAATGTTTCAACTGACCACTTTGATTAGCATTTAATGGCTTGGAAGTGCCTGGGGGGAATCTTTTGTTGAGAGTGATTTGATGTGCCTGATTGTTTACTCTCTGTTGTTGTGTAGTTTGTTCAAAGATCAGCCTATCTGACCCATCTTTCTCCATAATCTCATTTCTAGAGCAGAGGGATGTTGTCTTTGCTCATTTCTCTCACACGCTGTCTCCCTTAGGAATTGTAGGTTTAGTTCGCTTTTTTAAAAAGCATTTCTTCAGCCATGAGACACTAATTTTCTTTTTGGCACAGCCGTGCAATATCATAAAATGGCCCATTCAGAAATGAAGTTTATTAGCTCAAGCTGTTTATGTGAAAGTTATTATTTATGCAGTCTTATTAGAGCATTGGGGAATAGCTGTTTATTCACTTACAGGCAACACTATTCCTGGACATGGGGTAAAGTGAGCAGAAGGAAAGTGTGAGGAAGTAGAGTAGATACTTCAGGCTCAATGAAGGTGACGAACTCCAGGTCATGTCTACACTGATCAGATAAAATCCAATGTAAAAGGCTTTGGAGTTGCTCCAAAGCATCCCTAGAGGCCTTTGCCCATCCACACCAAGGGATCATTGGGGCACAATCATCGCCTCACTTCCAGGAAGCAGCTTCTTCCCAGAGGCTTGTTGGTGATATCACATTTCTGGTCAGATGGTTCAGTGCCAGAAATGACATCACCAGAAATGCAACATCACCAGCAAGTTCCTGCAACAAAGCTGATTGTTTACAGAAGCAACGGATCTGTTGGTGATGTGGATGGTGGCAGATCCAGCTGGATCCAACTGCCGACACCTCCAAAACTGTAGGATTGCTGCAGAGCTTCCTGGAAGCTCCAGAGTAAAACTCTACATTCCATAAACTTGGATCAGAGTTCTCAAATGTTTTCAGCCATAGAATCCAAAGTTTCTTATGGAGACCCAAGAAATTATATTATATTATATTATTATATTATATATGTGTATGAAGTTTATTAGCTCTAGCTGTTTATGTGAACGTTTATTATTTATGCAGTCTTATTAGAGCACTGGGAATAGCTATTTATTCACTTACAGGCAACACTATTCCTAGACATGGGGTATCAAGCCTCTGGTGGCACAGTGGGTTAAACGACTGAACTGCTGGACTTGCTGACCAAAAGGTTGGTGATTCGAATCTGGGGAGCAGGGTGTGTGCCTGCTGTTAGCCCCAGCTTCTGCCAACCTAGCACATGCAAATCTGAGTAGATCAATAGTTACCACTCCAGCGGGAAGGTAACGGTGTGCCTTGCAATCATGCCTGTCACATGACCTTGGAGATGTCTATGGACAATGCTGGCTCTTCACCTTAGAAATGGAGATGAGCACCAATCCCCAGAGTCAGTCGTAACTGGACTTAATGTCAGGGGAAAACCTTTATCTAATGTGTATATATCAGGCATGGGCTGGGCTAGAGGCAGGTGGATGGAGGGTGTTTGTGTGAACTAATTCACACAGTGCAAAAATAAAATACAATATTAAAAATGAAGAACAATTTTAATCAACACCAATTTTAATCAACACCAAGGGATCATTGGGGCACAATCATTGCCTCACTTAACAGTATTTCAGTGGGGTCATTCAGTACAACCCCCTTCTTCCAGGCAGGAAAACACAATCAAAGCACCACCAATAGATGACCATCCAGCCCTTGTAATAGTAATAGTAACAACAACAGCAATAATAGCAGAAACCCCAGAGGAGGTGGGCTGCTGACAGAGCCTCTGAGCACCTTACACAAAGCCCCAAGGGTGCCCCGGAGCACAGTTTGAGAACCGCTGACTTGGATTAATGTCTTGATGCAGCGTTTATGCTGCAAATACAACAATGCATCAAATGGCCTCACTGTAGCAGTTCAGTGATTTTTTTTTCTGTGTCAGGAGCGACTTGAGAAACTGCAAGTCGCTTCTGGTGTGAGAATTGGCCTTCAGTAAGGATGCGGCCCAGGGAACGCCCACATGTTTGATATTTTTACCATCCGTGTGGGAGGCTTTTTTCATGTCCCCACATGGGACCTGGAGCTGACAGAGGTAGCACAACCTGCTCTCCCCTGATTCAAACTGCTGACCTGTCAGTCATTACACCACCAAGCCTCCAATCAGCTCATTATGAAGATATGAAGTTGAGTGATGGGTCCACTTGTATTACTTCTGTGTAGACATTGCTCCAGTGAATTCTGCAAAGACCTTGACAATTAGAACAAAGATCTTACAATTTCCAGTCAACAATATAGCAACTACACCATATCAACTCACTGAACATCCATTACTAGGATTGTATGTCACTTGCATATCTTCTGTCTGAGCTGTTTTTGGAAACAGAAAGCTGAACAGAGTGTGTTCCGACATTCCTGAGCTCAGTATACCTGTCCAAAAATGTCCATTGCATATGATTCTTTCATCCTACTCATATCAAAATGCAATTGACATGTGTGTAATTTTTCCCCTCTATTTTTTTCCAGGCTGCTGAGGAAGAAATTATTCAAACAGGTAAGACCACTGGATTGCATCTTGTTTCTTGTCATTGATCCTGCATTTTAACTATTGATAAGAGCATTAAGCTGTCACTGAATTGCAAAGCCTCTTTTAATCCAGTCTCATGTGTAATGCTAATTTATATCAGAGCATGTCGTTTACACAAGTCAGTCCAGAGAAGTGACTGCACACTGAAATAAAAATGGATGAAATGGCTTTGTTATAGTGGCCTCTGTACATGCTCAGAGGGCATATTTTGCTAGGGCTACATTCACAGAGAAATATAATACCAGTTCATAATGGCTGTGAGTTACCGGATATACTCGGGTATAAGCCGACCCGAATATAAGCCGAAGCACCTAATTTTATCACAAAAAACTAGGAAAACGTATTGACTAGAGTATGTCGAGTGTGGGAAATGCATTCACTATGGGTCAATTCCAAAATAAAAATAGATACCAATAAAATTACATTAACTGAGGCATCAATAGTCTAAACATTTCTGAATATTTACATAAAACTGTAATTTAAGACTGTACAACTCTTATTAAACCATTATTCTAACCTCCTTCAATGTAAATGTACTTATTATTAAAATAATAAAAATAATAGACTAAAATAATGAAAATGCAAGAAAAACAGTAATAATAGAGTAAAATAATAAATGTAGTAATAATAGGGTAAAATACTGTAAACTTAATAATAATAATAGAGTAAAATAAATGTAATAATAATAGGGTAAAATACTGTAAATGTAATAATAATAGAGCAAAATAATAAATAGAATAATAGAGCAAAATAATGTAAATATAATAATAGAGTAAAATAATAAATGTAATAAAATAATACTAATAACAGAGTAAAAGAATAAATAATCTTTACTTGAGTATAAGCCGAGGGGAGTCTTTTCAGCCTAAAAAAGAGGCTGAAAAACTAGGCTTATTCTCGAGTATATACAGTAGTTACAACTAGAGTAGACCTGTCCAATCAGTTGTTGAATAATGAGCGAACATGTCATTAAATTCCATGTATTCAGTACGCCTTTCTACCTAGGGTTAATGTATGGAACTTGGGTTGGATATTTCCTTCTTCCAACAGAAAGGGTCTTCCACGTGGAGTAGAAGGTTCTTCCATTGGAAGAAATATTTGCATGCAAACCTCTAAATTTAGACGACTCCATGCCAATTACATAGTTATGTGGTAGGGCTGGGTGGTTTCGTTTCGTTAATTCGTAATTCGTTAATAATTCGTTATTTTTTTCAATTACAAAACGATAACGAACCATTCTGGAGCAATTTTTTAAAAAAACGAATTTTTAAACACGTTTTGTAAATGCTTCGTATTTCGTTATTGTATTCGTTTCGTTATTGTTCTGAGGTCGTTTCGTTATTATTTCCGCATGTCTGGGGCAAGTTTTTGTTTAATTAGTGAAAAAAAAATTATAATATCACACCAACAGTCAACAACAGAGGGAGAGGCAAGCTTCAGAAGTTTTTGGAGGTTTTTTAGCGTATTTCGCGGTCGCGTCCGCCATTAACGAATCGATTCGTTATTGTTTCGGAAATCGATTCGTTAATGTTTTGTAATTTTTTTCACATTTACGAAATTTCGTAAATACCGAACTTTTTTAAGGGAAAATTTTGTAATTATTTTAAATATCGAAACAAAAAAACCCCCCAAATACAAATCGATTTTAGAAACAAATTTTTCCGTTGTTACCCAGGCCTATTATGTGGGTATTATCTTTATATCCTGCTTTTCCTTAAGGAGTTCAAGCCAGTGCATTCACTCTTTGTCTCTATTCTTTATCCTCATCGTAATCCTTCAGAGTTATGAGAGACAGAGTGAGGGACACAAACACATAAATGGGAACTAGATTATATTGGTCGAGGCAAAAGGGTCGTTAAAGCTGCCTTAGGTGAATTAATTGAGGTTAATACTAATATTCAATGTGTTGTCGAAGGCTTTCATGTTCAGAATCACTGGATTGTTGTGAGTTTTCCAGGCTGTGTGCCTATGCTCCAAAAGCATTCTCTCCTGATGTTTCATCCATATCTATGGCAGGTCATCCTCAGCCACCCTCAACCTCTGAGGATGCCTGCTATATATAAGGGGTTTTGGCCTGCATCAATAGGAGTCTAGTGTCTAGATCTAGGGAAGTCATGCTACCCCTCTGTTTTGCCTTGGTCAAACCACACCTGGAATCACACTGTGTCTAATTCTGGGCACTGCAATTGAAGGGAGAGGCTGACAAGCTGGAATGTGTCCAGAGGAGGGCAACTCAAAGGATAAGAGTCTGGAGAACAAGCCCTGTGAGGAGCAGCTTAAAGAGCTAAGCATGTTTAGACTAAAGAAGCAGAGAGGAAACATAATTGCCATGTATAAATATGTGAAGGGAAGTCAAAGAGAGGAGGGAGCAAGCTTGTTTTCTGCTGTCCTGGAGACTAATATGTGGAAGAATGGCTTCAAACTACAGGAAAGGAGATTCCTCCTGAACATGAGGAAGAACTTCCTAACTGTGAGAGCCATTCAGTAGTGGAACTCTCTGCCCCAGAGTGTGGTGGAGGCTCCTTCTTTGGAGGCTTTTAAAAAGAGGCTGGGTGGCCATTTGTCAGGGGGTGCTTTGAATGCAATCTTCCCACTTCTTGGCAAAATTGGGTTGGACTGGATGGCCCACAAGGTCTCTTCCAATTCTGTGATTCTAGTCAAAGTCATAGGAAAGAAAATCAAAAGGATTGGGGCTGAATATATTCTTGAATTCAGTCTAGTCACTTGAAGCATCCAGGAAGATACCTCTGTAAACAGGTCATGGAAAAGGTGACAACCAATATGATAAGAGAACTTGAGCATCTTCCATGTAGGGCAGTGGTTCTCAACCTGTGGGTCCCCAGGTGTTTTAACCTACAACTCCCAGAAATCCCAGCCAGTTTACCAACTGTTAGGATTTCTGGGAGTTGGAGGCCAAAACATCAGTGTCCTTAACATTGATGTTAAGGACAAACAAAAAAAATGTTCTTTCACAACAATGAAGTGCACCCAATGAGATAAATAGCCAATTGTTACCTTCCCTGCCTCTTTCTTACCCTTATGAATGAAGGGAATGTTTTGGATGCTTCTGGTTGTTGTGGGATTGTAATGTAGCTAAAAGCTAGGTCCTGCTTAAAGTGACGCTATCCATTAGGGCAATGGTTCTCAACTTGGGGTCCCCAGATGTTTTTGGCCTACAACTTCCAGAAATCCCAGCCAGTTTACCAGCTGTTAGGATTTCTGGGGTTGAAGGCCAAAAACATCTGGGGACCCCAGGTTGAGAACCACTGCATTAGGGCTTTCTTGGCAATCTTTATTCAGAGGTGCAATTTCTTCCATTTGAGACAAAGAGTGTGTGACTTGGCCAAGGTCACCCAGTGAGTTTCCAGGCCTGAATTCAAAACCTGGTCTTTGGTGTCCTAGTCCAACAATTAAATCACTATGCCACATTGGCTCTTGGGCACTTCGCACAATGTCCAGAAGAAGAAACTGGAAAATGTCTGAATTGGTAACCTTCAGTCAGTGCTAAACCTCAAGGTAACTGAAGCTATATCTACACAGACTAAATAAAGCAGACTCACCTTGAAGCTGTTGCAAGGAGTCTGCATAGCATACGGCTGGTCTTGCAGATGAAGCATTGAATCTAATCATTTACCCAGTTCAAGTACTACAGTGTACTCCAAAGAAGGTAGACAAGGCAACAAGGGGGTTGGCTACTCTTGATCTCATCCTAACAAATGCGGACCTGATCAATGCAGTTGAAGTGGTCGAATCCTTAGGGGCAAGTGACCATGTGCTCCTGCAATTTGAGGTACAAAGGAAGGCTGAAACTAAGACAAGTCAAACCCGCATTTTGGACTTTAGGAAAGCTGATTTCCGAAAAACGAAGGAAACACTGAGCAGCATTCCGTGGACACAGAAACTAAAGGACAAGGGAGTTACAGATGGATGGGAATTTCTCAAGAATGAAATACTCAAGGTGCAATTGCAAACCATGCCAACAAAGAGAAAAAATAGGACAAGTGCAAAGAAGCCAGAATGGATGTCCACTGTGTCTAATTCTGGGCACTGCAATTGAAGGGAGATGTTGACAAGCTGGAATGTGTCCAGAGGAGGGCGACTCAAAGGATAAGAGTCTGGAGAACAAGCCCTATGAGGAGCAGCTTCAAGAGCTAAGCCCCTTTAGACTAAAGAAGTAGAGAGGAAACATAATTGCCATGTATAAATGTGTGAGGGGAAGCCACAGGGAGGAGGGAGTAAGCTTGTTTTCTGCTGTCCTGGAGACTAGGATGCGGAACAATGGCTTCAAACTACAGGAAAGGAGATTCCTCCTGAACATGAGGAAGAACTTCCTAACTGTGAGAGCCATTCAGCAGTGGAACTCTCTGCCCCAGAGTGTGGTGGAGGCTCCTTCTTTGGAAGCTTTTAAACAGAGGCTGGATGGCCATCTGTCAGGGGTGATTTGAATGCAATATTCCTGCTTCTTGGCAGGGGGTTGGACTGGATGGCCCATGAGGTCTCTTCCAACTCTTTGATTCTATGATTCCAGGAGGATCTGGAGTGACCCTAGTGTTTTTGACGTGAAGACAGCTAGATTGGACTGGATCTGTCACAATCCAGCATCCACACGTCAAACAGATCCACTGCAGTTTTGCTGGCAAGAAGCAGAGCTTTCCCTGTGATGTCACTTCTGGTGGTCATGTGGTGGGTGCCGTGTTGTGGCCTCGTCAGAAGCAATGTCACCAGCAAGGCTTTGCCAGGGTGCTCCTTTTGGCTGGTGAAAAGAAGCAGTGGCCCCATATGCTATTTGCACAGCTGGTCAAGTGGACACCAAAATGCTCTGGGGATGCTCCCATGCTACATTCTGGACAGCTCTAGAGCACAGTCCAGTAAGTGTAGATACAACCTTTGATAGCTGGGCCACAGGCAGCTGTCAAAAAGGACCTGGGGATTTATATAATGCAGTAAACTCAAAGCTGGAGTTGAAA